GGATACGTTCGAATTTTATGTTTCTGTACGTTTTAACAATGCTGCATTTAGGTGTGGTTAGGTCGTTGGCACAAAAACCACTTGGTTAGGAACTATCCCAGCAAGAAATGCAGTGATGGCTCAGTAAAACACAGCAGCTTTTCATGGCACTATCGCGGCAGAGAACACACAAATGTCTCAGAAAAAAACAATGCACTATCCTGGCAGAAAATGCAGCAGTGTCTTGGTATAAAACAACTACTTTTTGTGGCGCTATCTTGGCAAAAAACTCAGGGATTGCTCTCCTGAAAAAAAAAACAACTACTGCTTATTATGACAGTTTCTCTGTCAAAGAGGCAACGATGGCCTCATAAACAACACTTTGGTTATTTGTTGTTCTCAAAGAGTGGTCTGCAGCTTGGCAGGCATCTCGCCTAGGTTTAAATTCGTCCACCTCCCAATGACAATGTCAATTAATATACTGCTTCACTTTAGAAACTATGATACGGTTAAGATGTACAAATGTAACATATAACTGATTTGCAGAAACTTACAATGCCAACATTTTCTTCTGATGTAGGAAACAATAGTCCAGTTTCCTCTTAATAAAGAATTTCTATGATATTTGGATCGAAGCCAAAAGCTCCTAAAAGGACTTTGAGTTGAGGTTTTCCTCTGGCAGGGATGGGGTTCCCTGTATCTCTTCAGATGTGATGTTGAGTGGCAGCTACAGCTTTCTGGAAGCTTCTCCTGCTTTGTTAGCCAGCACGTTGTGTTCACTGACTCACCTCTGTCCGAGAAGATCTTTAATGCCAGAGTCTGACTGGACGGGGGCCAGAGGTCGTTGCTCCTCTACAGGCAGAGCTGTGGTTGGCTGCGGGCCTGAACACAGAGCCGTTGTGTTGGGTGAGATGTGAACAGCTTCACTGCAGCAGCCTGACAAGCTGCTCACAGTGCTGATCGATGGGCTCGTTGGGTGGAGCATCTCCAGTTTCAGTGGGGTCATTAAAGCCAAGAGGGTGTCAGGAAAGTCATCAGTAAAATCTGTCTGATTAGGATTTTATATCTCTTAAGGAAGGAAAACAGAACATATTTGTGCTGAATGTGAGGGTTTGTGGTGACGACATGACCCTGGATGCAGGTTTAACTTATTGACATTTTGTCTGTATGTCAGCTCAGGTGTTTCCACAATTAAATCAAAGCTCGAGCACGTCAAAGCAAACAAGGTTAATCCTCACAGTCTTACATTAAATTAACCTTTATTCAATTTCTGCCTGTGAAATTAAATCAATGCCAAGACACCATGTTTGTGTTTCCATTATAGAGCTTAGTCTTTTATCTCGAAATAGAAGAGCTTCACTCACAGTATGTGTGTCTCTTTTCTATATAAGCGAAGGAAAAGTGAACTGAAATCTAAACTCAAGTGACCCAGAGCTGTTTTCATTCTTTGTGCTCGCCACGTCTCGTCACGCTGAGCTGCTGTTGGCACATCTGATAGAATAAAGTTAAGTCTGACAAAGTCAATTAACCCTGACACAGTGCAGCTAATCCCGACGAAGGCAATCAGAGTCTGGATGAAGTTTGGTCTCATCAGTCTGATGAGTGCCACGTACAGTATGTCTTAAGAAATGTGTTCAATTCTGACATTTTAGGATGAAAGGGATTATGTGCAGTTAGGGGACTAAAAAAGAAAAAAAAGATTTGCACTCCTTTTGTTATGGAATATTTGCAGGAAGTCTCAGGTCGTTTTTTTGGGTGAGGAAATCTTTTTTTGTAGATCCCTTTTCATTTGTGAGGTGATCACGGGAAGCCTCAAACCGCCACAATAGATTATAAAACTAAAGGAGTAGTTTAACATTTTCAACATTGGGGATGGACATTTGTGAGATGTTCAGATGAAAAACCTCATGTCTGTGTTGAATCGTTCAAATGAACAGTCCTGACATATTTAAATATGTCGTATCATTTATGTAACTTTAAGTACAGTTTACAATTATCAAAAAATATAACCAAGAAAATGAAACCTCCCTTTTTTCTGGAAATTCTAAAAAAATAAATAAGAATAAGATTTATGCTTATTTCTCCATAGAAATTTGTCCAATAACTTTTCCGTTTCATAAACAATGGGGAAGAATGTACCAAAAAAAAAAATAGATGAACATATTAATAAAAAAAGTGTTGACATTTAATTTTAAATGTTATGTTCAATTTTAAAATAGTAATATTCTTATATTTCAATATAAATTCACTGCAATGTTCAGCTTTTTCATTCCTTAGAATTCATTTTATGATATAACATATAATTTATATATTTAATATCCAGGACTCTGCTCTTTCATTCATGTGTTGAACCATTTACTTTCCTATATTTGTTTTTATTTTTGCTATTTATACTGAGCTAAACCTTTTTGTCATGATGAATAAAGGTCTGTTTTATCTTTTAAATGCTGTTGCTGCATTTCAGTTCTGCAGAACTTCACAGAATCAGACAAAGAAACAGACTTTGAATATGTTTATATAACAATAAACTTTATTTATAAAGCACTTTTTAAAACAAAGTTACAAATTGAAGACAACAGCAGATGAAGTGCTCATGTGGGTTGCAGTATCATGGTATCCAGGAAGGTGCTCTTTGGTCAGGAAGTGTAGTACATCTTGAAAAAAACAAAATCCAAGGCAACTCTTCTCTGGTGCAAAAGTTAAAAGGCCTTTATTAAATGGCTAGTTCACGATGAACATTAAAATCACCAACATGTGATTGCCCTGATGAAGGCCAATGAGCATGGCCGAAACATGTTGGTGATTTTAATGTTCATCGTGAACTAGCCATTTAATAAAGGCCTTTTAACTTTTGCACCAGAGAAGAGTTGCCTTGGATTTTGTTTTTTTCAAGAAAGTTACAAATTGCTTTACATGGTTGATCTTGGATTTAAAACAAAGCGGGATTCAAGCAAATAAAATAAGGCAATTTCAAGAGAGATAAAGAACAATAAAAATAAAATAAAGATAAAATATTGTTGGTGAGGCAGAAACGCAAAGTTGGCAAGTCAAACAATTAGAATACAACAACCAAAGACAATACATGATAATAACTTGGGACATAAATAAAATGAACAGTGTGCTGAAATTAACAAAAGGCTTTTTTGAACCTCGACTGCAAAAGCTTGGTCACCTTTAGTTTTAAATCGGGACTGAGGAACAGCCAACAGAGTCCTGCCTGAGGATCTGAGGCTGCGACCTCAGCAATGTCACTGGGGGAAGCCATGAGGTGCTTTAAAAGTGATGTGTAAAATCTTAAAATCAATTCAGGTATAAAATACTATGCTTCTCGCCATGATTCCAAAAAGATGATATTCTTACTGAGCTGTTTAAAGGGCTAATGAAATAAAAATCCCACTAATATTCCTGTTTAGATGCTGTAGTTGAATATTATTGTGCATGTAAACATAGTCATTGCCAAAGTTTGAGTGAAAGCAGATGGATGCTGCTGATTGGAGCGTCCAAATCAGCAACAAACCAATCACAGACAGGAAGAATCCCTGCAGGCAGCCAATCACACAGCTGGATCGTCTGTGATGAGATTTAAAAACTCTCTTTGCTCCATAGGTCTGTGAGGAGCAGCTGCTCTTAACAGGAAGTTTAACTTAATGCCATGTCATCCTCTGCCCGGTTGCCTAGCAACAGTTGCCGGGCGCCAGGCAGGTGCCTCGGCATGTAGAAAGGTAGTGGAGAACCCCCCGAGGTGATGGAGGGGGGCAGGTGGTCGACACCATCAGTGCGGTGCTCATCGACATCTTTCATGGCGTTCTGGTCATTTTTTCAAAATAAAAGACAAAGATTGAGCGTCATAAAGTGGCGGCACCAGAGCGTGAATAATTAATCAGCAGTTTTATCGGTCGTAAAGAGAGAGATTTCCTCTGATGTGAACAAAAGGCAGGCGAGAATAACGCAGTGATGCATTTTAATAAAGCAGTCTGACCACAGAGCACGCCGCAGGGTCGTTTATAGAGCTCGCAGGGAAACTCCACTTCCTGTGAGGTGGTGTCAGACATTAAACACACACACTGACTGTTTCTACACAGTGTCGCTTTAATTCCTGTGTTTTATGTGGATCAGTTTGCGTGTGTGTCATATTATGTTTTAGATTTTTATGTTTTTTCAGCTTTTTGAAATTGTGAATTTTTTTCCTTATCTTTTTATATGTTCACTTTTCCTATCTCTTATTTTTCACATTACAAAAAAAAATTTAATTTAAATTTTCACATGAATAAATTATATATTGTATTTAAGGAAACCCATGCCATCATTGGGATTTTGGAATCTTTTGGGATTGTTGGATTTTTTTTGAACATAAATATGTGGAATTTTTTCCAATCGAAAAATATATATTTTAAGTATTATTCACCTCAAATTTGGGCTTAATTATGATTGATTTAATGGATTTATAGTCACAGATTATCTGCCCACTTTAGAGTCTTTTGTTTATTTTTTTATTTCTTTCATTGAATTTACTTTTATTGACTTTTTTTAACTGTTTTTATGTTTATTTCTCATAATCATCTGTCCTCTTTCTAATGTGTTTTTGCACTTTATCTGTTGTTTATTTTACCTTAATTTTTTTCTTGCTTTAGTTCGGCATTACCGTTTGTGGCTTTATCGTTATATTGCCTCTGGGTATCTTGCATCTGCTTTTCTTTATTTGTCAAAGCATTTTGTAGACACTGTTTTTAAAGATGCTATAAAAATAAAGCTGTTGTGACGAAATCCCCTGAAATCCATCAAATGATATTAACTTTAAAAAGGAAAAGGAGAGAATAAAAAGATTAAAAAAAACTATTGGTAATATAAAAACATTTTAAATGAATACATTCTCTTCATCAGAGGAAGAGGAGGTGGTGTAAATATTTATATTGCTGTCAGGTTGTTGCCCAGTAGTTCCCACAGTAGATGACGGTGATGTACAACGCTGCAGTGTTGTTTCATCGTTTTTATCTACCGTTTCTGTTTGTGTATTTCTGCAGGTTGTTTTAAGGATGACCGCATTGTGTTTTGGACCTGGATGTTCTCCACGTACTTCATGGAGAAGTTTGCTCCTCGACAGGACGACATGCTGTTCTACGTCCGCAGGAAGCTCGCCTACGTCAGCGCCGACAACACCGAGGGCAAAAAGGTGACTGAATTATTCAAGGATTTATTAGTGTTTCACATAGAGTTGAAACAGTTGGTCTAGTAGTCTAATAGTTGACGGACAGAAAAGTAATCTGCTGCTAATCGGCACAATTATTGTTTTTTAATTGTTTTTTTTTCACCTTAGCAAATGCTTTAGTCCCCTTTTGTTCTGTACCGCTTGAAATCCCTCCTTAATATGTTATAATCAATTTGTGTTTACATGAATTAACCTCAGAATGGGTCACAAAACCCTGAATTTGCTCCTTAAATTAAAGACTAAGATAAATTAACCCAGTTTTGCTTGATATATTAAAAGCCCATTAACCATGAAAATAATCAATTAAACCTCCTTAATTTATTATACTCATTTTTATTAACCCCAAATTTGTGAGATTTCCAAAAAATGTCCTAAAAATAAAACCCTAAATAAACCTGACTGTTGTTTTAAGGTGATATAAAAGTCCTGTAAAATATTATTCATTTGCACTTTTTCCGCACCAGATTTGCAGATATTTTTGTATCCATTATTTTTAAACTTAAAAATGCTTCGCTCAGATGCTTTTAGATGTATGATTTTTTAAAAAAGAAAAGAAACATGAAAAGTATCTGTATCAAGATTATTTATGTTTTACTATCAGTCGATATATCGTTATCAAATTTTTTAAATTTCCAATTATTGAGAGGCAGCAAAATTCCAGCACTTGTCATTCTCATGTAAGTAAAATAATAATAATAAATAATATTAACATTTTAATTCTATGATGAGGCTATAATTCAAATGTCGACTTAAACCAAAATCTAGACAATGTCACTGACTCTGGAAGTAAAACATCAGATATCTTTATTAATATGATTGATGTTATATAGTATACGGCTTCATCTCCACAGTTTGTCTGTTTTTCAGCAAGTGATCACTTAAACGCCTGAATGTGCAAAAACACTGAAGAAAAAAACTCGTCTTCAGGATCACAGAGAAAACACTTCAGTTGTGTAACATTGATGTTGCCATGAGGATCCTTCAGTTTGACTCTGAGCTCTGCAGAGGAAACATCAGTGTGTTTAATGTATTAACACTGATTTCTGTTTTAAGATATGCACCTTCACAACTGCCTGTGTCTGCCGAGGCTTCAGTCTGAGAACAGGAGGAATTATTGATCTTATATTGGGATGATTATCAGGACAGAGGCCACAGCTCAGATCCTTCTGATAATTTAGAGATGATCTGTCTGTCCTTGTTGACCTTCTCTTCCCTGAGCATGTGAGAAAATAACTTAATCAAACGTTGAAATCAGGCAGAATAAATTAAAAGCATGTCTTTAAAATCTCAGCATCTTTTAAGGTTTTAGATTCAGATTTCTCATCTGTCTGGTGTAACAGACACTGCCGCAGCGCGCAGTAAAGGTGGAGGATGCTCTGATGTATCTGAGTCATAACAGGAAAAAAACATCATAAACAAGCTCCCAGTTTAAACGCTGTGACACTCAAACATCACTTGATCACAGAGATTAAACATGTTGATCTTCACTCAGTGGAAACACAGCAGAGATTTCAGACTGACAGGTGTTCCTATTATTTTGTCCACATTTAAATCACTGAGGGCAGGCTGAATAACCTTCACTGCAGGACTGTTGTATCTGACGACATTAGGTAAAGTCACTGTAGGTGTAACTAATAAACTGGACTCCAAATAAACATCACAGCCACGTTTCGTTACAGGAAACGGCCTCCCCAAAAACTGCTGTTGAAGTGAAACAGAAATAATCTAAGGTTGTGGGGGTTTTTTGTCGTCAGTCTGATGTTTCTGTTTGTCTTCTGTCACGTTGGAGGCAGACGAGACGACACAAAAGTCACATTTAATAACACTGAATGAGACAAACGGCGCCAACAGCAGCCATCAATTTTCCCATCAGCCAAAGCCTTCAGCAGTTTGTCTTTTTAAAGTCAGAATCAAACTTCGTTCAACTAAAACTCACTTTATACAAATTAAACTTCACCAGATTGTCTTGATATAAAATCAGGGCAGAGATCTGGTGACTGTGGAGGTGATGATGTGAGCTTTGTGACATGGTGCGTTATCCTGCTGGAAGTAGCCATCAGAAGATGGGTACACTGTGGTCATAAAGGGATGGACACGCTCAGCAACAATACTCAGGTAGGCTGTGGTGTTTAAACCATGCTCAGTTGGTACTAAGAAAATCTCCCCCACACCATTACACCACCAGCAGCAGCCTGAAGCGTTGATACAAGGCAGGATGGATCCATGCTTCCATCTGAATGTGGTTTTTCCAATCTTCTATTGTCCAGTTTTGGTGAGAAAACCCGTGTGAATTGTAGCCTCATTTTCCTGTTGTTAGCTGACAGGAGTGGCACCTGGTGTGGTCTTCTGCTGCTGTAGCCCATCTGCTTCAAGGTTGGACAAGGTGTTGTTGCTTCAGAGATGCTCTTCTGCACACCTTGGTTGGAACCAGTGCTTATTTGACTTCCTGTTGCCTTTCTATCATCTTGAACCAGTCTGGCCATTCTCCTCTGACCTCTGGCATCAACAAGGCATTTTGGCTCACTGGATATTTTCTGATTTGAACACATAAGGAACACCAGTGGGAAGCTACAGTATGATGTAAACCTGGCCTCTGCTCCCTCTTCTTCTCTTCATAATTACATTTCACTCATCTGGACTCTCCGTCTGCTCTTTGTAGTTTGTCCTACATCCCCCTCCGTCCCCCGTTGCCACGGTTACGCTTCATTGTTCTGTGTCCAGGTCGGGTTAAGGGCTCCCATCATCTCATCTGACTGCAGCCTGGACACAACCTGCATTACAAAGACCGGAGTGTGTCCATGTGTGTTTCTGTATCGTTCTGAGGGCCAGCGTTGAGTCACAGTGAGGTCATTTTGCTGTCGGAGGATTCAGACTCCACCGGATGATGATGAGGAGGAGGAGGAGGAAGATGATGTAAATAAATAAATAAAATAGACATGTTATATACCTGTTTAGGAGGTAGAGCACCAATTCAGGATCAGTTTTGAATCAGTTATCTCCATCTGTTGAATGACCGACAGACGTTGACCTGTGTTTTCACCCGTGCTCCATCACTGCCCCTTTCAGTTTTTGTTTGTTTGTTTTTTCAGTAATTCTCAACAATCTTTCATTTTTCTCTTTGCTGATTCAGCCATAACAACAAAACATAACACCAGAAACTAAAAAAATCTACTCCTGGTGCCTTTTCACTGGCTAACGTACGGCTCACTGCCAAACTCTGACATCGGCTCTCCCGGTCTGCGTTCCGTAAAATGTTTCACCAGATTTGGAGGAAAGTTCAACCTGGGGACAGGCATCAAGGATTTTTGTCGAAGGAACCAAGGTTATGTGAATTTCTGTGTTAGCCTACAAATAAACGTCACCCCTGCAGCACTCTATTACAACATAACGTTAGCTAGCTAGCTGGTTAGCTGCCAAGGCATTCGCATACTTGTCATTTCTTTTTGCAATACTTGCTATAAAAAAAGAAAACCTTGGAACAAATTAAGCTAATATAATACTATGGTTATCTTAATTTTTAAAACCTTTATCAAAGAAAATACATTGGTGTCGGCCATCTTGTTGATGAATTCTCAAATGTGGACATGTATGCAATTCGCTCACTAAGATGACTTTAATACTTACCTCTAAAGTTTGTCCTCTGGCTCCCTCAGTCAGTTCCACCCCTCACTCCTCCACAGCTCCACCCTCTCTTCCAAAAATGTTCAGAAATCCAAGATGGCGACGGCCAAAATGCCAAACTCGAGGCTTCAAAATGGCAGTCCACAAACCAATGGGTGACATCACTGTGGCTACGTCCATTATTTCAACAGTCTCTGCTCATAACGCTTGGTTTGGAGTGTTTTGAGGGGCCATGTAGCCCCAACACTTCGCCCTGCCCCTCTGTCCCAACAAGAATCAGGACGCCCTGCCCCTAGACGTGAAACGGGGGGGAAGGGCCAAGTTGTCGGGGTAACGGGTGTATTGGGATTCAGCCTTAGAATAGCTTTGTAGAAATATCCAGTCTTCTCACTGATGGTCTCGTTTGCTTATTTAGGTCATTTAGAGACTTCAGTATTAATCTGAGAGAGTTTCAGAGACAGTTAAAAACAAAATCCTTTGAGTTGCTTTAATTGCTCAATATGAAGAAATCTGTAAAAATCGTTATGCAGCATCTTCCTCTTCCTCTCTCCTTCATTCTTCAGTTCCTTATTTTTGCTTCAGTGGGTCATGTTTGAGGCTCAGCGTCTTCACAGTTCATATCTGGTGATTATACCCACATACTGTATCTGTCGTCTCTGTAGCTGACGTTCAGGCGTCTCCCGCTCATCTCTATTTAAACAGACCCTGACGATATAAAGGTTTGTTGCAGCCGGTCTGCAGGGAGATACGAGGTCTCCACACGCCAGGATTCATATCACTCACGAGCCATGTAGAGCACAGGAGCGGTCGCCATGGTTACGCTGTGAAACGTGAAGGCGTTGGGAAATACCCCTTTATGGAGGCAACTGAGCGTTCTGTCTCGAACAACAAAAGATAACCACAGACAGACATCACACTTTATGTAACGTTTACATAACGCTCATTGTTTTCAGATTTCAGCCACAAAGTAAACACGTTTTATTAAAAGCAGCAGATTCAGTTTAAACTGACTTTATGTTTCAGTCAGATGCTCCTGCTTCATGTGACAGAAACATAAATACAGTAGGTGAAGCAGGAAAAGACATGCAAGTCCAGGTTGATGCCGAATAATATTTATTTCCTGAAAGGGAAATGTCTCTGTGGTCCGTGTGGATGGTTCCACTTCCTTCAAATGTTCTTACATTTCCGTGCTGAAGTTCACATTGTTCTCCATTTTGCCTTCAGCACACACATCAAAATGAAAACTGACCTTTTGCTAATAAGATGGCAAAGTCTCACAACTCAAGACGGTTGTATGATTAGAGTTGGTCGTGTGAAGGTTAAAAACATGGTAGGTATGGAGTGAAAATACTGCTCATATGATTTACACACATTTTTAAAAGAGTTAGAAATGTGAATACGTTTTTATAAAATGAAAAAAGGATGCTTGTATAAATATTTCTTTCTTTTGTTTCTTTGTGTCAATGATAGTTAAGTGTTAATGTCCTCAAACGAGATGATAATAAAGTCCCAATATCTTCAAACAACATGAATGTTACCATTTGATTCACTGTACCAAATTATAGCTTAGAGAGAATTCACATCTGCATCTGAAATAACTGATTTAGATTGTAGTGGTCAAAGGTCAAGGTTACTGTGACCTTACATTAGTCTCATTCTTGTTAACAAGATTTCTCAAGAATGCCTTGAGTGAATTTCCTCAAATTTGGCACAAATGTTACTTGGACTCAAAGATGAACTGGTTAGATTTTGGTGGTTCAAGGCCAAGGTCACCTTGACCTCGTCTGTCTTCTGTTGAACATGGTATCTCTCGAACACGTCAGGGAAAGTTCTTCAAATTTGGCATCAACATCTTTTTGGACTTAAGGATGAGCTGATTTGATTTTAGTGGTCAAAAGTCTAAATTCAAGATCACTGTGACCTTGCGTCCATCCCATTCTTGTCAACATGATAGCTCAAGAACACATTAAAGGAATTTATTCAACTTTGGCAGAAACGTCTACTCAAGAATTTATTTATTTATTTTCTTTAAAAGGGACCATGCATAGATCAAAACATAAAAGTTACCATTAGGTGCTCTGTACCAAATTATAGCTTAGAGCTAATTCGCATCTGCATCGGAATCAACTGATTAGACTTTGGTGGTCAAAGGTCAAGGTCACTGTGACTTCATCTGTGTCCTGTTAAACGTGATATATGTCTAGAACGCACTAAGGACTTTTCTCCAAATTTGGCACAAATGTCCACTTGGGCTTAAGGATGAACTGCTTAGATTTTGGTGGTTAAGGGTCAAAGGTCACTGTGACCTCACATATCACATTTTGAGGTTTAATTCAAGGTTTTCTGCGCTAAATATGACAAAATTTGACACAAATGTTTAACAGGATAAAATGTTAAAGTGATGACCTTTTATATCAAAAAAGTCAAAGGTCAGCTTCACTGTGACATCATCATGTTCTGCATAAAACAACGTCATTTCTCAGGAACAGAAGGGGAGACATTTGGTTAGATACTGAATTGGTGAACTGTGCTGATTGTATAGATCTTCTGTGAGTGAAGCATCCATGTTTTCACTGGCATGGGTATTAACTGTAAGAAAAACTTGGTCTGCAGCAGCATATAAGTGTGAGGCAGTAATTCTAGTTAACAGTTATTTTTTGTCACTTCCACACCTCATTGCGATGAGGCCTGTTTGTCTCTCCTGGCACGTCCAGATTATCAAGCACCAATTGGTATAGCTTCAGTCATAATTACAGCTTGTATGTTGACATAAACACTGTTTACAAGTCAAAAAAAAAATGTAATTACGATAACTTAACTGTGACACAAACCTGGCCCCACAGCAGTGGCTGTCTGATCCAATCTTTTAAACAGATGTGTGCCTTTCTGTTTTATGTCCAATCAACTGAATCAATTCCAATTAAGCGCTAGTGATATTTCAGGGATAATGAAAGCAAGTAGGCTGCACCTGAGCTCCATTTGCAGCATCAAAGGGTCCGTTTACTTATGTAAATGAGATTTATTTATGATTTTCTATTTTTTAATAAATTAGCAGACATTTCTAAAAGCATGTTTTGTGTTGTTATTATGAGTTAGTATGTGCAAAGAAAGATAACAAGGCTTGGTTTCTGGTCTTGTAAAGCAGAAACTGCACCTTAGACACAGAGCGATACCTCCATGTTTCATTTCCTTTTGATGTTGTCATAGTAACAAATCAATAGAGATAGATCGTCCTCACATAAAGGACTCTGAACAACCTGCTGCAGCTCATCCTTTATGTTTCTGCCCTTCTTTTGATGTCAAACTGATGTGACAGGAAGTCTCCAGAGTCCTGGTTCCTCTGAACACCTGAACTGAGCCTGACCTGCTCACATAAACACACACTGGCAGATGTTAATGTGTGTGTATGATGTCTGATGAAGGGGTTTTGACTGTGTGTTACAGGTGGAGGTGGAGGTTTATAGGAGAGACTCCAAGAAGCTGCCGGGCCTCGGTGACCCTGACATTGACTGGGAAGAGAGCGTCTACCTGAACCTCATCCTGCAGAAGGTGAAGAACTCTGAGCACTGAAACTAGAGCGTAAACTCGTACTCAGATTGATTAATGTGATAATATCTCATTAACAAATACTGTGTCATATTAGTTCATGATATATCTTGTTAGTGTCCTCTGGGACAGTGATTTTGTGTGTGAAGCTTTAACCCCATTAATCTTGCCGGTAGTAAACGGGCTGCGGCGCTAAATTATTAACGACCGTAGTATCGAGGAGTTCCAACATTAGTGTTTGAAAACGTCTAAACTTCAGCATCGCTTAAAAAAATAAAGTACCAGGCAGAGGTTAAAAAACAGCCGCCATTTTCAAACCAAAGGAAGGGTTTCTGGCCAGGCAGTCTTAAAGTCTTGCAGCAAGCTACTGTCCTTGAGCGGGCATTGAAGGCGTTGTTTTTGGCTTCAATCATTCATTTTTTACACTTTTTGTAGTATTGTCAATTGATATTTATTGGGGGGCCTTGGCATGCACAAGTTTGGAAATCCCTGCTCTGGAGAGGAAAGTCCAAGGGTCACCAAAACTATTAGGAATCATTCTAATATTTTAACTTGTGTTCAGATTATGAAAATGCTTCAAGTCTTATTTAATGGGTTCAGATTTTCTGTTAAACCCAACATGCATTTTCATTTATCACAACCTTTCAGTAAAAGAGGAACGTGTGTCAAGGTTGCCCTCCAGGTCCCCTCATTTTTACAATTAGTATTAAACCCTTTGCACAAATAATGCGATTAAATATTTAAAAGGCATAACAGTGGCGATAAACATAAAATATCTATGTATGCAGATGATGTGTTGTTAAATCCCAGATGTTTGTAATTTAACACCTTATTTGATACATTTTAAAAAGATTAAAGCTAATTGTTACAGGTATAAAAATCGTGGTGATGAACAAAATATATCTCTGTCTGCAGACGATGTGTTGTTATATCTCAGGGAAAAAAACCCTGACAAATGCACCCTTATGTTTCCACAAAAACCTTTTAACTGCATTTTTTTTCATAATATTTAATTTAACTTTTTTGCTTTCTTTTCTATCATAAACAGTTTTACCAAGTGTTAACAAATCAAATAAATGTAGAAGCACAAGAGGGAAGAGAAAAAAAGAAAAACCACAATAATGAATTACATAAGTAAGTAAAAAAATGTATTCCTACATAAATATGCACCACAATCTACTCTAATCTACACGCAGCAGATTAGCTCTCAGACACTGACATATAGCCTCAGACATAACTCAAAGTTAGTCGAGGTAATGTTTTTTAACTACAGTTTTACTATGTAAGTGCTGGACAGTATAATATTAACGGAAAAGAAAAATGTTTGACAGGATAATAAAAGTACAAAAGTAATTTCCATGCTTTCAGAAAATAAAGACAGAAAACAAAAACATTTAAAAAATGACAGAAAAGTAAGAAAATTGCCATTTTTTTCTAATGAAGTAATGTCCACAGTAATGATAAATAACTCTACTCTCTTGCAGTTGGATTACGTGGTGACGTGTGCTGTGTGCACGCGCTCAGACGCAGGAGATATCCACATCCACAAGAAGAAGTGTCAGGTATGAAACCACTCAGCTCTGCAGCAGCTCACATACTCAGTCGTTGCACCAGAGCTGCTCCACAGTCAGATTAATCAAGCTGTTAATCTATATTCATTCTGTCTATGATTTTTGTTTTTTTACAGGAAGTATTTGCATCTCCCAGCAAACACGCCATGGACAGCAAAGGAGAGGAGTCCAAGATGAGCTACCCGAACATCTTCTTCATGATCGATAACTTTGAGGAGGTAACAGAGTCTCATCGCACAGATACAGATGCTCACTGGAACATTTGCAGCCTGTGAAATACGTCCTGAGTCCAAAAACTGGACCTGTATGAAAATAGTATCCATTAACAGCACACTCAAAATGTTTTATTCTGCAAACTGTAAACTCAAAAGTGACTTTATTTAATCACCATCCTGTGTGAACACACTACAGCGCCTGTGACGTGTGGGTATGTAGTATGAAGTTATGCAGCACCAGAAAGTAACATAAGGGCGTTTTCACACCTGAAAGTCCGAACTAAGGTTTGCATTTTCGTTGCCTTGTATATATTTGATCCAGCTACTTTTGGTTTAATATTGCAATTATTCGAGCGTACTAAGGAACTATACGTGTTCTCTGCTCTGATGGCCAGTGCACACTACGCACTGAGACATCACACTACTCTTATCACTTGACAGTGGCCTCTAAAACTTCCTATAATGGGTCCAAAAGTCCAAACCATCCAAAAGTTATTTTGTCATATCGAGATAAAACATGCAGTGATGCCATGAACATGTAAATATAAGGGAGTGAAAACATCCCAGAGTTTAATTGAATTATTTTCTTGACTAAATAATAAAGTTATGTATAAAGTGGTCTTTCTTCAGTAATGAAGCCTTTCCTCTCTGCAGTCAGACCCCACAGAGCCCGGAAGTGTCCAGAGATCCTGTCGATGCCGTCGGTGTAATGAACTGTGACTTGATACTTTTTCACTCCATTTAAAAACCAGCTCCTGCACTAACACCTGCTTTTATAGGTCGACTGGAGGGAAAAACGCCAGATCACACAGATTTCTCTCCTGGAGGGAAATCAATGAGCGAGAAAAAACTGTTTACTGTGTACTCAGATAAACAACCAGCAGTCACTCTGTTAGTTTGGCTCAGTTTCTAAAACCAAATCTCCTCACTGACAGAGAGAGATGAGGGAATTGTGACGCTCCCAGACCTTAGTTTATGATCATTTTAGGGTCGTGTGAAAGAATGAATGCAGGTAATGAAGGTATTTGACGGTAAATATTATTTTATTATGTGTAGGTGTTCAGTGACATGACGGTGGGCGAGGGCGAGATGGTGTGTGTGGAACTGGTGGCGAGCGACAAGAGCAACACCTTCCAGGGCGTCATCTTCCAGGGCTCCATCCGCTACGAGGCCCTGAAGAAGGTCTACGACAACCGGGTGAGACGCTGCTGCTGCTGCTGCTGCTGTGAGCTAATGCTAATGACAACATGCTAACGTGGTGTTTAGAGCAGTGGTTTCCAACTGGTGGGTCATGGATCCATTCTGAATGGACTGTAAGTGTAAATGTCAAGTTTGTAAAAAACATACTTTAGTTTGAAGTACAGTGAATTTCCAGCACAGAGTTTTTATTTTGAAGTGCCGTTTCCTGCTGTAGAGTCTCTAACTTCACTAAGAAATACTAATATAATAGAGTGCTATATATTTATTTTTTTGAAGGTTGTGTATGTAACTTTCAGATTGTCCTTGTTATTAGTGACACCTCTATCTGAGGCCGTTAGTGAACTGCAGTCTACATCCTGTTGCTCGCAAGCACCTGGGAATCGGGCAAAACACTGACGTGTCATCCACGAGACTGCACGTGATAGACCGTCATCGTGTTGATCGAATTTAGAGTAACGTTACTACTTGGACCAGTGGCTCCATGATACTAGCTAGCTTGCTGTTTGCAAATTATCAGCTAACGTTATGAGGTAACTAAAGGCATGTCCATGCAGCGTAGCTCAACAGCTAGCTGGATAACCTTAGCTTACAGTTAGCTACTGATGCCCAGCTAGCTGTAAATTAGCTGCGCTATGATTTGCAAACCAGCCCCTGGAATCTGATCGAATTAGTTGAGGTTACCCACTCAAGACAGTATTTTGCTATGCTAGCTAGGTAACAATATGTCCGGACTAGCTAACGTTAGCTGACATTAGCCAGCTAAAACTACAATATCACAATATATTTCATATGTCAGTGTTTTCTCTACGATTTCTTTAAAGCACCAGGGCCACTGAATTTAATTAATGTACCTTTCATCAGACCACAAATGAGACAAGAATTAGCTAGCTAGCATAGCTCGAGGTCCATGGCCATCAATCCTCGCTGCAATGAGATTATGCTGCGTTCAAAGGGTTCCTGTTAGCTATGTTTACAAGAAGAGACCATCTGCACTCCAAGTTCAGACTTTGCGTACACACCTTCCCATGTCGTAAACACAAGCTCACGAGCTCCTTATGAATGTAGCATTTCTTCCCTGGTAGGAGGTCAGACGGCAGCTCCGGAGACAGACCGTCAGTCAGAAGCTGTAGCAGCTCGAATTCAGCCAGTGTAAACCCAAAGTTAGGGTTTGTCTCCAGGCTGCAGCTGCAACATGTATATCACTGGTTTTCATTTCTACGCTAACATTAACTAGTGCTGCACACAATTGGCAATGTAGGGGAGTGCAAGGCAAGGCACAGACGCACATATGATGTCACATGGCGCACACATGATGTCACATCCTTTGGATTTATCCCAGAAAATGTGTCCCGAGTCATTTACATAGAAGTCAGTCCACAGGCTGATATCGGCAGCTGAGAAAGTTGGGGAACGTCTCAGTTTTTAGATTATGTTACGAACCGTCACCAACTGGCAATAAAAAACAATTTGTACATGTAGGAAGTTACATACAGAACCTTTAACTTTCACAACAAACTGTTTCAGAGTCAGAAAAGGTTAATTGTTGATACATTTTCCTATCAAAGCAATTTACAAAATGAATAAAAATCCTATTAAAAGATATATTCAATATCTTATCTTTTTTACATCTGTGTTTTCCCACATGTTGAGGCTCATGATTGTGTTGGTGCTGCAGGTGAGCGTTGCTGCTAAGATGGCCCAGCGGATGTCTTTCGGCTTCTACAAGTACAACAACATGGAGTTTGTGCGGATGAAGGGTCCGCAGGGCAAAGGTCACGCTGAGATGGCTGTCAGCCGGGTGCCGACCGGTGACACCTCCCCATGCGGCACCGAAGAGGACCAGGTGTCGCCCATGCACGAGAGGGTGAGGAGAACAAACACACGCTCACAAACACATGTGGAAAGTTAATACTCATAAGGACTTTACTTCTACTCCACTACACCTCAGAGGGAAATAAAGAGAAACCATAAATGTTCCATGTCTAGTTTATCAAAGACAGATTTTCCTGAAAACATTTCTTGGTATTTGCAGACTTTTATTTTGTAGGTTTCATTCTAAAAAGACTGAATTCTCAGTTTTTGATTCTTCATTTTCTTAAATTCTGTTTGAAGTCAAACCTGAGGTTGTATTTCAAGGCATCTTAAACCCCAAACAGACACTCTGAATTCACAAAGCAGGAACTCCAAACTTCCCATTTCATCAGCTTACAAGTTGTTTTGGAGTTTGGGTTCACTTCCTGTTTGTCTGCGAGAAACAGAACAGAAAACACCAGAAAGCTTCAGCTCAGCGTCTCCAAGTTGCCTGTGAGCGGCACGAAGCTTCAGTGAGCTCAGCACAAAGACATGAAATCAGGTCGTGATTAATAATAAATGCTGCTGGATGGATGATGCATCATTTAACAGTCTGTCCTCCAGATGTGTCTCACAGACGTCTGATGGAGGTCAGAGGTCACCATGAAATGACACTTTGATTTATTTATATTCTTACACACACACACAGAGAACAGAATAAAAATATTTACCAGAACTGAGAATCAGCTGACGTGGATTTAAACTTGGGTAGTTTGGCACCACTTCAGTCAGTATATAAAGAGTATTATGTGTATGTGAGTGATGATGATGACTCTCGTCTTCCTCCAGGTGACGTCCTTCAGCACACCTCCGACCCCAGAGAGGAACCGTCCCTCCTTCTTCTCTCCGTCTCTGAGACGCAAAGTGCCCCGAAACCGAATCGCAGAGATGAAGAAGTCTCACTCCGCCAACGACAGCGAGGAGTTCTTCAGGGAGGAGGAAGACGAAGGTACGAACTGGGACACAGACTGGTCACACTGGTTTGTCCTGCAGCGTCAGTCTTTATCTGTTTTTAGCTCAGTTATCAGTAAATCATCAGGAGGCTGTTTGTTCTGTTGTAGCTGTAATAAAGTCTGCAGCCTGCAGGTGGCGCTTTCTGAAAACATTTTCTTGAGTTTGCAGAATTTTATTTTCAGAAAAAGGCTGAATTTCTGCATTTGATTCCTGTTCTTTGAAATTAATTTGCATAAAATTTGAGGTTCTGAGGATTTTTTAAGCTTTAAATTAAAGGTAAAATAAAATAATTCATGTCAGGCGTTTGTTTTAAATCCGATAAAACATCAATAATTCTTAATGATATGATGATGATGATGATGATGATGAGTGTGGGTTTTTGCGTGTATTTCAGATCTTCACACCACTTCCAACCTGCGCTCTCGCTCTCTGTCGGGGACCGGTCGCTCTCTGGTCGGCTCCTGGCTCAAACTCAACCGGACTGAAGACTACTTCCTGCTCTACTCACACCTGACCTACGTCACCCTGCCGCTGCACCGCATCACCACAGGTCAGAGGTCATCACACACTCTATGGCACCAGTATTATGATTCACAGGATGCAGACTGTGTGTATTAGCCTGCTGTTAGCCGCCTGTTCTAGATGGTTTCCTCTTCTTCTGCTACCTGTGTGTTACTGTTTTCAGAATCCCTGTTGCAGACCCTTCTCCACACTTTGACGGCTGTGTACCTCCGAGCTCGCCACCTACATGCTCAAATTTCTTTTCAGTGTTTTCTTTTGCAGACATGTTAATGCCAGCGCTCGCCTCCTTATGTGTAAAATGTTCCACCAAAACAAGTTCCCTCCTGACACAGAGCACTGGCGCTGCATCCTGAGCTTAACTCTACCTGAAGCAACTGCCAGCGTATTTCTTCCTCGGTGCAGAATTTTAATGGGTTCAGCCGGATGATTTTTCAGCACTAAAATGAAGTGCGGATATTACAAGACTATCACACGACTATCATCTCATTTTCCTCAGCAAAGACAGTATCATCCTGCTCCCTTCTTGTTTGTGTTATTCTGATCATTTTAAAATGTACAAACATAAATCATTCATTCTGAGAGTTACTGAACAAATGACCTAAACATTTAAATGTTTTTGATACAGCCATTAAATGAGGTACATATACAGTGTGTTCAGGTGCTGATAGATTCTAATTTGTATTTGTTTTTCTCAGTACTTCAGCTTTTTTCATTACTTGTTCAGTCAGCCATCTGGTAGGCTTGGGCGATTGGACGAATATATCGCCCATCGGCTGAGTCCATCACGGTTGTTTTCATTTTTGACGATTTTTGTCATTTTATTTTGCTAAATTAATGGTCTGTCTCCACAGAATTCAACTCGGTGCATATAGTTCATAATTACTATGTAGAGCACATTTCAAAGTGTGCGCGTATTGAACTGGCAGCTTCACACTGAATTCCGACGAGTCTTTCACAAATCACGTCAGTGATGGCGGAGCTGAAAGTAACGTTAATTCATAAACCATATTTGAGAACTGCATCAAAAAAGATGTGCAGTTGTGCACCCCGATCGTTATAGTAGGACAGGTATGTTATCCCTATCTCCCACCTGTTTGCTCATTTAGAGGCTGTGAGCAAATGCGTCCTTCTGCAGCCGTCAGACTCTTTTTAAAATGGTGTCGGACAGTCGTCTTCGGCCCGTCTTTACAGCTTATTACTCAGCAAAGACCTCAAGGTGATTTTTTTTTTTTTTTTAAATGAATAAGAGTATAGTCTATAGGCTGTATGTTTCAGTAAAATTTCAATTCATTAATTTTGACATTAAAGACCACGGTCAGAGGATAAGGCGCAGGTAAATTTATTCAAACAGAATAAACAGTTGGTCGGTCCACAAAAGTGACACAGTAACAGTAGCCTATGATAACAAATAAGTAAATATAAACGAAGGACATTGGAAAAATAAAGTGCAAAAATCACACAGTCATATAAAATAATAATGTCCTCTCCCTTTGCGCTGTCTTTATAACAATGCCGTTGCGGACGTGGCAAAAAAACCTTAAGCTGTTATAGCTGTTCTAAAAGGCTCTCGTAGGCTTATTGTTTGAATCAATAAATACAAATAATAATAAATATAGGCTCAACGAAGAACAATGGAAAAACATAAATAATAAAGTCCCTTTGCGCTGTCTTTAACTCAAAAACACAATGTTTAACATGTTTTTGGAGAGGAAAACGAGCATGCTAACGTTATCTGGCGTAAGCAAAGTGCGCATATGGTTAACAATGTTAGCAGCCGTGCTAACACCCTCTCTGACGGCGTGCTTGTTGCCGGTATGCACAGGTATTTCCGTGCCATGTTGGACATGAGTGGGCTCACAAAGCATGCTGCATTTTTTTGCTGCATTCATGTGGTAGCGGAAGATCCGAGTCATTTTTCGTTTATTTTCCGACATCACATGAATGCAACATCCCCCCTCTGTTTTTTTTTCTCTGCCACACACACAACTGCCGAATATATCGGCAACCGCCAGTTGATGGGCTGACGGTGGCCAGTTGGAAATTTTTAACATATCGCCCAACCCTACCATCTGGTTACTGTCTTACTTAGTTAGTTGGTTACTTAGTCATATAGCTTCTTAGTTACTTAGTAAGAGAGTTAGTTACTTATTTATTCAGTTAGTTTATTCCTTGGTCACTTTCTTTCTTTCTTAGTTAGTAACACAATCAGTCAGTCACTTATTTAGTTAGTTGGTCAGCCTACTTAGTAACAGTTAGTTTTTTACTTTGTCAGTTATTCATTTAATTATTTAGTTAGTTGGTTATTTATTTAGTCACCACCTTTCTTATTACTTAACTTTCTTAATTTCTTATTGAGTCAGGCGACCAGTTCATTACAGGTCGTCTTAGTTTTAGTTGGTTTAGTTGGTTGTTCACTTAGTCAGATAATTTGTTAGTTACTTTATTACTGTCACTTTCTCTGTTTCTTAGTTAGTTAGTTGGTTGGTTAGGTAGTTAAGTAGTTAGTTAGTTGGTTGGTTGGTTGGTTGGTTAGGTAGGTAGTTAGTTAGGTAGGTAGTTGCTTGGTTGGTTGGTTAGTTATTACAGTAGTCGGTCAGTTAGTAAGATTGTAAGTTTCTGACTTTGTTAACACTTGGTTACTTACTTTAACTAGTTCATTACTTATTTAGTCATTTTGTTTCTGTCTTTGTTAGTACATAAGTTGGTTAGTTAGTCAGATAGTTACTTTTTTTTTTACATTTTTAGTAAGTTACTTAGTGAAAGTTATTTATTTAGTAAACTGTTTTACGTATCTAGTCTTTTTCTGTCTTTCTTAGTACTTTCTAATACTTCTAGTCAGTTACTTATTTAGTTTGTTGTACTTAGTAAGATATTTTTTAACCTTGTCAGACAGTTAGTTACTTGTCAGTTACTTAGTTAGAGATAGTTTATTACTTAGCCCTATTCTGTCTTAGTAACAAAATTAGTTGGTTATTTATTGAGGTAGTTTGTTTTAGTCACTGTCTTAACTGACTTAACTTTTTTAATCCCTTATTTAGTCAGTTACTTTATTTCTTTACTTTCTTCGTTACTTATTTAGTTAGTTTGCTGCCTATTTAGTCACTGTTTTGTCAGTTCATAATTTTATTGATTACTTATTGAGTCAGCTGGCCAGTTAAATATCATACTAAGTTGGTTTCTTAGTCAGATAATTACTTTCTTACTTTTTCAGTTAGTCACTGAGTAAGAGAGTCAGTTACTTATTTAATCAGTTTATAACTTAGTCCCATTTTTTCTCAGTTACATAATTAGTTGGTTACTTATTAATGTTGTTTCTCACTTTGTCAGTTAGGCCTAGTTGATTACTTAATTAATTAGTTACTGTGTTACTTTGTCAGTTGGTTGGTTACTTTGTTAGATGGTAACTTACTCAGTCAGTTACTTACTTAGTCAAAGAGGTAGTTAGTTACAGGGTTAATTGGACTTGGCTATTCTTTCTCAAAACAGTTAGTTACTTACTTGTTTACTTATTTAGTTTGTTACTTAGTTACTTGAATACTCAGTCAGGTGATTAGACTTTGCTTTTCTTTAGACCTGAGTGATCAGTCAGTTAAACAGTCAGTCAGACTTAGCGTGGAGTTTATCAGTGGTTGAGCAGTGAAGACAGGAGAAGAGGCAGAAGTATGACATCCAGCAAACGTCCTTAAGGGAACCTGGGACATTATGGGGACGATGTGACTGAATTACTGTTAGTTATTTATTCATCATTAACCTGTGACGTTTGTTTGTGTCAGACATCCTGGAGGTGAGGCAGAAGCCCATCCTGATGACATAGCAGGGCTGGACTCCCTCAGAGCATCACTACCAAGTGCCTCCTGCATCAGGCCACTGAGACCACAGCAGCGCCCCCCGGTGTCCAGACCGAGACCAACAACCAAACACCTGCTTCACCCGGAGAGACCAGTCAGAGGAGACCACGACAAACCAGCCATTCAGGAAGTGCCTCTTCTTCTTTTTAGTTCCTGCTGTGTCCGAGGTCGTCTCCACGGAAACGGGCCCGGCGTCGGGATATCACATGACCTCAGTGTGAAGAGGCATTGGCTGAACTCTGACCAGAAAGTGAAGAATGTGTGTTTTCTTGTAAATATCCTGCTGCTTTACTCACTGAGACACCTCGACTTAAAGGTTCTGCTTTTAACGACACGTTCTGTTTCTGTTCCACCGTCGTGGTTTTCTTTTTGTTTTTAATATTATCTACGACGACAGGAGGTGAGAGGGACTAAAGTGTTTGTGTCTGAGAGGAAACTAGAAGAGTGGACGGCTTCAGCCCTGTAACCAGACGTAGTGTCGGCTCTGTTTGAGGTCACAGCGGGGTCAAATCATTGCTTCATTTATTAAGACAGGTCAAAATATAAAAAACAAATGATCATCACAGCTTCGACTTCATGTCGATTAAATGTTCTGAATGTGTTCAACGAGAAGAAGCACACCTGAGAACCTGTTACCAGCAAATATTTAACTTGTAATGATTATTTAAATGTTTCATAGTTTTCATTTGCTCAGCTTAATTAATAGTTAAATAGGTAAATCAGTCAATCATTAACTGGATTTAATCGCCCCTCCAACACGTTAAAGTTCACAGTAACAATAAGCAGAATACGATGTGATTATAATTACTTAAATAAAGAAAATAAATCAAATTAAAACTTCGTTATTCACTGGAAAAATGACCTGATTGATGATAAACTAAAATAACTCACAGTATCAGAATAAAATCATAATTTTTTAAAGTAAATTTATTCTTATAATCAAACTTATTTTTCGTAGAAAACTGTGACTTTACTCCAGAGAGTTATTCAGAGTTTTTTAATCATTAAATTACAACCAATTTCCCTCCAAATTTTCCAGTTCATCTTCGTCTTAAACGATAAATTGATGATTTCCTGTCACTCAGCGAACTGATAAACAGGGTTCCTGCACATTTAGCATTTCAGAGTTCAAATTTACAGACTTTGATTCGGCATTCGATTTTTAAACCATATTTGTCAGAAAAATAAATGTTCCCCTAATATATTTTACAAACGCCATGAAAAACACTCTGCTTGTGTCATCAGTTTATTTTTAGAAATTCTGAATTTCAGATTTTAGAAAACAGAGTTGGGGCAGTAGTCTGGAAACACAAAGATTTTTCCAGACTCTTTTCACTTTTCCGAACGTATTCAGACCTGGAAGGTCACTTACTAAAATCAAATCCCATACTGTGAAGGAACCCTGGATGAATCAGCTGATTGCATCGTCCTGACTGGGTGTTAAATTTGACTAAAACACGACCCGTCTGTCACATCTGTCGCTGTGAACTCGACTTTATAACCTCCCCGAAGACCACCAGCAACAGTTCGCTGCCGTATACAACAATTAACTGTAATAAAATTATAAATATAATTAATAAAATCTAAAAATCTTATATTTAAAATGACTTAATACATTGATTATTAAAAAGTTCCCTGTCTTTTGCTTTGCTAACTAATCAGATAATAATTTCAGTGTGTGATGTCATTATTCCTAATAGTCTGTAAATCAGATCTTTGACCTCACCACAGTTTCAAACTTGTACAGCAACAAATTATTATTACTGTTATTACGCAAAGTGCAAATATAAAAATATGAGATGTCATAGAGAAAAAATAAAGGTGCGCAGACAGTTTCCTAATTTGATTTAACAACACGTTTGGGATCAGTGAGACGCTCCAGAAATGATTTTACAGTGAAACAGTGTATAATATTCGTACGCATGGATCTCAAAGACGACACAACCTGAAGTAGCTGCACATACTGGCATTTCAGCCCAAAGTCAAACTGATTAAAGGAATAATCCACTCCCCAAATGATTGTATGAATATCAGTAACTCTCCCTGTGTTACGCTGAATTCACAAAGAAAATTTTCTTTTTCTCTCATGCCTCCATGGTGAACGAAGAATCCAAAAACAGAGAAAATTCTTGATGAATTGAAGCCATAGGGGTCCACGTTAAACAACAGCAGAACTACATCAAAACATCCATTTACAAACTCTAACACAACTTGTGAGTTGTAACCCAAGTCTCATTTATCCAGTCGTATGATCAGTACTTCCAAACACATGCATTTCCATTTAAACCTCACTATTTAACCCTTTGACACCTGAGCAAATTGGCTTGATTTCTTTCAAACACGTGGCAAGACGGCCATGAGCAATGAAGGAAGAAATGACCCAAAGAATTTGCAAGAAATTAGTAAAAAGAGAAAATTGAAAACAAGAAAATGAGCCTTAAAAAATTTATATTTGTTTTATAATTTTAAATATGTAATAATTACAACAAAAAAAAATCTTTTTTCCCCTATTTTTTAAAAATAATTTTCTAAATCTAGTATATTTTTTTTTTTCAATTTGTGGGACGTGTCGTACCAAGTTGCTCATTGCCTTTTTTTCATGATGACACTGCACAAGATGTTTTAGGAGAGTTTTGCTGTTGCTAAACGTGGACCCCTATGACTTCTTCTCATCAAGAATTATTACTCTGTTTTTGGATTCTTCGTTCACCATGGAGGCATTCGACAAAGACAAAGTGCTCTTGACAGATTAAATTGACCACAGGGAGAGTTACTGCGACACAGATGATCATTTGAGGGGTGAAATGTTCCTTTATGTGATCCACAGTGAAAATGAGACGAGACAAGATGGATGACGTTCAGTAATGAGAGCATAAATCAGTGTTGTTTTACTCCATGACACCTCCCGGGCGATATTAAAATCTGTAATTAGCTGAGTTTTAAATTAGGGGCAATCTGATCAAAGACAACAAAACTGAATCCTGGAAATGATTTAATCTAAGTCAGGTGTATTCAGCAGTTTAATACCAGACTTATAAGTTATTATTTTCAGCGAGTCTGTTTTTTGATTTAAAACCATCAAACACAAACTCCAGACGGACCCCGAGCCGACGGACACAACATCTGTATTTCATTAAAGCAGCTGTGTGATGATAAAAACTGTCGTCGGACTTCCACAGAGTTAAAAAGAACGAGAAGAAGAATCACAGGATCCCAGCTTTGACTTTTTACTTTTCTTTAAAACTGCAACTGCGACTCACAAACTGGAAGTGACTTGAAAACCTCATGAAGAAACAACAGAGACGATTTTAAAGGGAAACTGGAATAAAAACCGAAGGAAGCGTCCTGACGGGATCCAGATGTGTTTTCAGTTTGTTGATGTTGAAGTTTTTTCTCCCTCTGTGCTCCTGAAGCCTTAAAATCTGACTGTATGTAACTTTAATGTTTCTTCTTTCACGTCATGTAAAACATTTTAAACAACCAGCTGAGGCTTCCAAACATCAGTCTTTAAATCTGCGGAGATGTCGGAGAGTTTGTGAGAGCGGAGACGCCGAAATCAGTCGACATCATCAGAGCTGGGACTGAAAAATAATCATCTGTAAAATATCAAAAATAAAGACAGACGTCCGTCACAAGTTTCCTCAGCTCGGAGTCATTAAATATCCAATTTAAATACCTTTTTAAAGATTAATCAGCTCATTTGTTTCTCTGCTTAATAAATGACTGAATTAATTTAATACACAGTTTGATTAATCACTTCAACTGAAGGAAAATTGATGAACATCAAAATTGCTGTAACAATTTAGAATATTAAAATGATATATTTATAATTATAATTATATAATTATTTATATATTTATATATAAAATTATATATAATATATAATATAATATAATAAAGCTAAACCTAAAGATTTTGATGTTAATGAAGTAATGTTTTGAGAGAAAAAAAATCAGAATTTGGAAAGATTAAAGTTGTGATTATTAGGAAGAACTAATAATATCCTAAAACAAAGAATTTATCATGTTAATTATTAATGAATATTATTAACAAAATTTTAAGTAAGTAAAAAGAAAGTAACGTTGTTGTAATAATGTGACAAAGGAATTATAAAAGCACTCATAATATTATGACTTTTTATTGTTTAAAAAAAAAATCCACTTTTTCCCCAAATACTATGATTACGTTATCCCCAAATTCTGCCTTTTTGGAAAATTGCGACTCTTTTCTTAAAATTTAAAAATCTAAATTAAAAAAAGAAAGAAAGAAAATACTTTGGGAACTTGTGATGAGCTTTTTCACTATTTTTAGACATTTTAAAAAACAATTTTTAGAGAAATCAATCAGTCGTTTAAAGCTTGTGATAAAAATAATTGTAAGCTGCAACCCTGGTTTTGTTACCTAATAAATTATTGAATTATTCGTTAATCATTACAGCCGAATATTGTCACAGAATTCCCCGTTTGATTCGATTTTAATTGAGGAACTTTTACGCAATAATTCTTACAGATACTAAAATTGCATATCGTCAGTATTTGTCCTGGTAATTAATGTAAAAAACGGAACCATAACGCATTCAGTTGAGAGAAATATATAAAGATTTGTCTTGTTTTTGTAAATTATTTATTTTATTAATTATTAATTATGAGAAAAGTTTTAAGAAAAAAAAATTCTGCTGATTTTTCTGAATTAAAGACATTTTAATTTTCAGAAAAACAAAGCAGGATTATATTACAAGTTAGCGACATACAAATATCTCGAAATGCAAAATTGTTGTAAATAAATTTGAAATTTATGGGGCAAGAAAAATAAAACTGAAAAATGTCTGAAAGTAGTGAAAACCTCAAAGTAAGGTGGAGTCATAGATCCACTGTCCAGGACAAAATATCTACAATTTCAATATTGATTTATAGAAATAAAAGTTGTGATCAATCAGAAAACAGCTCTGGTTTTGTTGAAGATTTTGTCGTCTGGTGTTTTCACGATTTAACGGTGAGACTCGACGTCTGAGGAGAAGCTGAAGGATCACGGGAGGAGTTCAGACAGCTGTTGTTGTTGTTATTGATCAGTTATTATCAGTGATTGATTTGCACTCAGAGACGAAGCCATCCTCGATCAAAGTGTTTTTTCTCTGTGTCGTATTTAACAGTGAAATATTCCACAGGGCACTTTTTCCTGTCAGTGAGGCGACCCACTCGTCTCCTCAGTGTTATTGACGATGATGAAGATGATGATGATGATGATGATGATGATGATGATGTAGTTTATAGTTTCTCCAGCTGAATGTATCCACGCTGATCAATAGCAAAGACTGCTTTAACTGAGAAACGTTTGATATGAGCAAGACGACAGTTTGCACTGTAAAACGCTTTTAGAACCTTTTTGAAACGTTTGTTAAAAACTTTTCGTTGTTCCTTTAACGCTCATCATGGCTTTTGTACACGGACACAGTTAATGTGCATGTTTCCATCTCACCTCTGTTGCTTAGTTTCCAAGCGTATGTACATTTTACTGTATTTATTTATTGAAATACACATTACCAGAAAAACTGACGCACGTGGGCTTTTATTTTTCCTGCATCACGTTTGTTGGCGCTTCAGTTTGATCCAGAGAAGTTAAAGACAGTTACAGGCTTCTTTTCCAGGAAATAATCTGGGTTTCTTCTTGGTAAATCTCCACTTGTGCTCAAGAAGAATCAAAATATTTCTGTGAATGTCACCGATCCTGCTCTCCAGAGGATGAACCTTTAAACTGTTGCTCAGCTGAACGTTGCGTCTCTTATCTCTAGAAATGATTAAGGTTCGTAACATTGGCTCATTTCTTCTCTTTGCTCGATAAACTTTACAAATTAATTTAATTCAGGAACTGTTTGACTGATTAACAATGTTGACGATCCTCAATTTTAAAAGTGACTGTCAGAAGAATTTCATCAGAAGATTTACACAAAAATGCCATTCAATTGAAGCTAAATTATTTTATGCTTTATTTCCCAACATAACTTCATTCTTAAAATGTTTTAATTTGACACTGATATTTTGCTTAAATTGTAATATTTTAAGGATAAATTTGATCTGACAAAACTATGTTACAAGAAAAAAAATACTGCAAAATAATGAGGAAAAAAGCACCTATAATATGAGAACAAAATATTACTTTTTATGGATTTTAATCATCAGGACGTCATGTGTGAATGTTCAACACTTTACTATTCATTTTCTTTATCAGGTGAGATTTGATACAACCTTAATATTTGGGCTGTGATGATGTAAAACACTGACAAACTAAAGTACCTGTACTGTGGTGGTAGCCAGGCGCCCTCTAGTGACACACACAGGAATCTCTAAAATATCTTTTATAAATTTAAATACATATAATGCTATCAAAAATATATATTGGCTGAAAACACTTTAACTATGAATTCAAATGAAAAGAAAATAAATAAATGACACATTTTAAGCGAGACAAATGAGCGTCACCACCTTAAACTCCTCCTGTTAAAGAGCCTTATAACGTGTCTATTTTTTTACTTTTATGCTTTATTTTATTTTTATATTTCCATTCATTTATTTAATAACGTGGAGACTTGATGCTGGTGTCTGACTGGAAAGTATTTCCATTTTTAAAACAAGACTAAAGCTGCATCCCAAGACCATGCAGGACATAATTCCAGACAGTATGCGCTTCATTTTCAGATTGATTTTAGCTTTTGAAATCTTTCTGGAGCCGTTTCATCCTCTACATTGACTTATTTTAATTAGTTCCAGCCGTGAGCAGCTCCTCAACTTCCTTCTTGCATTGCATTGTGGGAGAATACTGCACATAGTGAACTTTACTTGTCTGCTGAGAATCATTCTGTAGTCTGGATTTACAACATCTTTAGTAACAGAAGCAATTTTATGATGTATTTTTTGCAGTTTTAGACGTGCAGAGTTTGAATTTGAAAGTTTAAGCTAACCTGGAGCGACTTCACTTTTTTTGTGCTTCTTTTTTGACCTCTGAGCACACTGGTGCAATTTCTTTAAATAACACGGCAAAAAAGGCAACAAGCAACTTGAGCAACTTGGGAGGAACTGTTCCACAAACTGCAAAAAATTAATAATAAAATTTAGAAAGCCAAGGAAGGAAAAAAATATATAATTATTATTTATTTAAAACATTGTATAATTTTTTTTTCTTGGTAATTTTTTTTTTGTTTTTTAATTTTCTCTTTTTACTAATTTCTTGCTAATTTTCTGGATCATTTTGTCGTTCATCGCTCACTGCCTTCTCCCCCGATTCGATTCCTAATATCTATATCTAAAAGGACATTTTTGGAGGTGAATCTTAAACATGGAGCTGAAAGTTAGAATAAAACAAAACTTAAAAAGCAGCAGAAGTTGTTACTGAACCCAGTCCTGCTCTCCAGAGGTGTAACGCTTTAAATTTTAATCACATTTTTTTTTCTCTTTTTCAGAGTAATTTTTTTCTGTTTTTCGGGGTAATTTTTTTCTGTTTTTCGGGGTAATTTTTTTCTGTTTTTCAGAGTAATTTTCAGAGTAATTCTTTTTCTGTTTTTCGGGGTAATTTTTTCTGTTTTTCGGAGTAATTTTTTTCTGTTTTTTTGGTATCATTTTTTTCTGTTTTTCAGAGTAATTTTCAGAGTAATTTTTTTTTCTGTTTTTCGGGGTAATTTTTTCTGTTTTTCGGAGCAATTTTTTTCTGTTTTTTTGGTATCATTTTTTTCTGTTTTTCAGAGTAATTTTCAGAGTAATTTTTTTTCTGTTTCGGGGTAATTTTTTCTGTTTTTCTGAGTATTTTTTTCTGAGTTAAGAGAGCAATAGAACAACAGACACTTTCATTGGAATCATCTGGAATTTCTCAATTATGGGATCAATAAAGGTGTATCTTATCTTATTCCTTTCTTGAGAGCTCGACATAATGGAAGCAAACATGACCCACTTGTTTAGTTTAATCCAGTTTTAATTTGTTTTGGGTTTAAGACACTGGGAGATACTCTTGTCTTTAAGTCATATAGATGGTTTTATCATTAGTTTGTCGACTTTACGCAGGCACCTTAAGACTTTGTGGTTGTTCAGACAAAATTCATCCATGAGCAGGAGTCACCATGGACGCAGGGGTCACTTGCAGGTGCCAGGTGGGAGCTTCTCGCGAGATTTTGAAGTATCTCGTCTCCTCGTTCAGGAAAAAAAAAATACCCCGAAAAACAGAAAAAGTTACCGCAAAAAAACAAAACAAAACAGAAAAATAAATAAAATACTCAGAAAACAGGGCTTTTTTTATTTGTCAAGTGAATGCAGTACGCTTCTGTACTCTAGCATCACCTTCAGGACTAACATATTTTAATTTAACTCTAATGTGAGACTTAAACAGATGCACGCTGAAAATTTTAATCATGTAGTTATATTTTGAGGAGAAAATCAAAGTTTTAGGAGAATAAAGTTCTGATTTTTGTCAAGAATTTTGAGACGTGAGAAAAAGTAACCAAGGATTTAGCCAATTTACCCACTGTTGTTCCTAATCTCTCCTCAGTTCACAGCTGATGTTTCAAACTCCTATTTCACTCTTTAACACCAGCAGTGACGTGAGAAGGATATTTTTGGAGGGAAAACTTTAATATGAAACACAGAAAATGAAAAGGCAGCAAACGTTGTTTGTTTGTTTGTTTCCTTTTATTCCCCAATAAATGTCTTTACAAATGTTCTCAGACGATGACAGCATGCCTCATCTCGAAGGCCGAGCCAAAGGCCACACAAAGGACACTTGGAAAACAGAGTCCATGTTAACAGAAAATAAAAAGTACGGGTCTGTTTCACACTTCCCTTCCACACCGTCATCAGAAGCTCTGCGGGGGGGAGAAACATTCACACGAGGTTCTATCAGTGAGAGTACAAATCCTGCCGACACAATAAATAGATTCCAGAGCACATAAACACTCAGCAGACGCACTACATCCTCGACACGTTCATTTAAAAAGGAAAAAAATTAACTGTTACTGCGAGTATTTAATTTGTAAAACCAAATCGACTGGACCTTTTTATTTGGAGGTTCCCCCCAAAATAACTCAGTGGTAAGAATTCTTCTGGATTCACACTTTCAGTCACTCGACGACCAAATTAAAACAGTAGAGTTAAACAGCGAGACCGATAAGATAACGTAACGTTGTGTTCCTCGAATAAAACAGCAGCAGCAGCAGCGTCGTCGGACTGGGAGGAATGTAGACGACGACCTGCTTCTGATAGTTGTGATTCAAAATTCACAGTATGACGACCAATTTGCTGTGGGAGAGAGAGAGGTGGCTGACCAGGACGAGTTAAGGACAAATGTGAGTGTGAGTGTGTGGGGGTAAAACCGGCGTGATGAGGTCGATGAGTCTGGAGGGTCTGAGGGGAGAGAGGGAGGGTTCAGCATTTCTTCTCCTCCAGGATCTTGTTGAGCTCGTCGGCGTCCTCGGCGGTCTTGACCCGGATCAGGAGGGGGACGGGGCTGGTGGGGTTCTTGTCATCGACGGGCGGGTTGGGGACGCACACCACCATCACGTTGTTCTTACCCAATCGAGAGCACGGCATGGACGCCTGCACAATGATGTTCAGCAGGATGTTTCCTGAAACACAAAGGTCGTCGATCAGCATTTTGATAGCGGTACTTTTATTAGCCACATGTTACGTTAAATTTATCAAGAATACTTTCCAACGAAGAATCCAAAAACGAAGAAAATTCTTTTATCAATTGAAGTCTTGTTTATCCAGGCATATGATCACTTCTTCAAACAGATGGCACTCTCCGACAGGGAACTAAATTAAAAGTAAAACTCATTACAGCCAGACTCCATAAACAAAAACAGTGATTTTACCTCACTGAGCACAGGAGCTGCTGGTCTACAGCTGCCTCTAGAAGTTGGGCTGTTTGTGTTATTGTGTGACTTTGGTGAATCTGAACTAACCTGTAAAAACACCAAAGTCACACAATAACACAAACTACCCATCTGACTGAGGCAGCAATCACAAACTATCTTTGTTTTTGGATTCTTCGTTCACCATGGAGGCACGTGAGAAAAAGAAAGTGCTCCTTTACTCTGTCTTCATTTTATTATGGTTTAGGGTTTTTCGGTAATTGTTTAGTCTTCTTCTTCATCTTAATTTTACAACTTTAACTCCTTTTAGTTCTTGAAGTCTCAGATTTAGTTCAAGTTACAAATGACTTAAAGTCTGGGCTACAATTAACAATTATTTTAATGTAACTTAATGTTTAATTGATAAATAATTTACCTGTGAAAACGTTAACGAGAGATGAAAAACGCTTGTCACACAGTTTCCAAAACTCAAATATATATGTAGTTTATTGTCATGAGGCAGAACAACCTGCACATTATCAGACTGGATAAACTGGATCCAGGTGATGTTTGATCAGAATTAGTTCATAATCAAAATTATAATTCTGTCAATCAACTGATTGATTAGTCAACTATCCCGGGAGTCCAGTTTGAGTAACAGATGAATGAGTCCTTTTCCCTTCAGCTGCTGTTTTACTGCCGACAAGTTGACGCATTTTAAATTGACCCGTGTATTTTCATGTGTCAATTATTTGTTTGAGTAAATGATTATTAATTCGATGTCACTCAGCAGAAGCTCAAGTAAGAAAACACTGAACCTGCTCTGTATTTATTCATAAACTTCTGATAACTGGATGTCATTTCTGTTTTAACACTCGTCCGATGTGTCACAGGAAGCAGCAGTTCCTGAGTCTGACCAGCAGGTGGGGCTGTTTGATCACCGCTCAGCTGACAGAAAACATCCGTTTCCTCTCTGCTCTGAGTCTCAGAGTTCACTCTCTGAATATTTATGTGTATTTAAATGATTCAGCACCTTCAGGTTGAAAACAACACTTTACACAGAACAAGGACGACGTGGAGAGACAGAACATTTTTCTTATCTGCCGCAGTTTGTCTCTGTTAGCTGAGTATCTCAGAGTATCTGAAGACGACACCTGGCGCTGTTTGTCACCATTTTCTGACATTTTAAAGCCCAAATTATTCAATGAGAACATCAGCTGCAACTCTAGTGTGTTTCTAAGAAGTGTAGCAGAGAGAAAAGTACAGAGTAGGCTTTTATCAGCCTCGACAGGAAGGTGAGTGGGTAAATGGGACACACCTGTGAGCAGAGGGGGAGGGGAGGAAAGTTTAACTCAGTTTCCGGACAAAGACAAAAGAGGAACAGGCTGAATTTTCTGGGTAACAACGTGCTGCTGATGAATCTACTTCTGATGTCCTGCTCTTTGTTTGATCCACACCAGTAAAGATAAGCCTCCCTTTCCTACGACTCTCCTCATTGTTGGTGATAACTAAAACTGATGTATGTTTTCATACCATCAAACCTTCCTGAAACGTCACCAGGGTATAAGGTATGATGGGATTTCTGTGCGGGGGGAACCCACTGGTTGTGAACCGTTGTTTCTGTACTTGTAGTTACTGTAATTTGAAGCATCCTCTGGCACAAGAGTTTTCTTCAGTCTATTGAACCGAACTGAATATTTAAGGCTCGGACATACTTTTCACATTGAATGGTCACGCGGGCGCGCACGCAGTTGTATACATAGTACAACTTACGGCCTGCTTTAGCCCACAGCAGTAAGGGCGGGCAGGTGAGCAAACCATCCTCCTACTGCGAACACTAGGTCAAAGTGAAACTAATAAGATGCTGCTGGGTCTGGAGTGAACGCCTGTCGAATATCCAACTTAAAGTCACCGTGGTGAGGCTGGTGTGGAGGAAGAGACTGGAGCTGCGCATACAGCCCACACGGTCACATAAAATGGAGTCAATGCTGACCCTCATGGACATGTGGAGGGGCGGGACAAATACCACAAAGACCAACTGTCACGTCTGACGTGTACAAACAGTTAAAGGGAAATTTCGGTTTATTTCAACCTGTCTCCTATCGTCCTAAATTTGTTTCAAGTGACTAGTGACATAAAAATAATAGTTAGCATGTTAGCCGTTAGCCTAGATACAGCCGGGGCACACAGTAGCGTCAGACCTGTTAAAACGTAAGTGAACGGGCAACCTTCAAGTGCAAAGTTAGTCCAGTAAACAAGCTTTTTTTCCACAAAGACCGCCTCATATCGTTAGGATAAATGTCAGAGAACATATAGAAAACGACATGTAAACGTGTTGTCTTACCTTACCGGTGTGCTGCCATGTTTGTTTACCATCTAGCTCTGCTTTCCAAAGCACAGCCGAAATATATCTGGCGAGCTCTAGATAAAGCCCAGCTGGATACTACTCCAGGTGGAGGTGTCTCGTCCTCAGTCACATCCAGACCTTGAAAATAAGGCTGCAACCGGTCCCATTCCTTGCAACAGAGGCATTCCTCTTCTGTGGGCACTGGGGCACAGCATTCACAGGTACACCACCAATCTCCAGAGCTACGCAGCCTTGCAGCAGCCATTCCTCCTCTCTCGTCCTCTACCTGTTGCGCCTCTCTCTCTCTCCTCCTCCGTTCTTCAATTTCACGAAGCTCTTCGTCAGTGTATTCTGGCTTAAATAAATAAGGGCGGCCATCAAACTCTGCAAAATCAAATTCCTCCTCCACAAAGTCGAAGTCTGGCAAAAAGTCAGCCATTATTCTATAAATCTTTCATAAAATAAATGAATGAACTTTTCAGGCTACTGTCCGGTTCTGCCTTCCAGCTGTTGCTGTTTGTTCTCGCGAGATTTCAGGCACGGTATGAGATCGCGGCTTGTTCTCGCGATATTTCGGCCGCGCTTTGGAAAGCAGAGCTAGATGGTAAACAAACATGGCAGCACACCGGTAAGGTAAGACAACACGTTTACATGTTGTTTTCTATATGTTCTCTGACATTTATCCTAACGATATGAGGCGGTCTTTGTGGAAAAAAAGCTTGTTTAGTGGACTAACTTTGCACTTGAAGGTTGCCCGTTCACTTACATTTCAACAGGTCTGACGCTACTATGCGCCCCGGCTGTATCTAGGCTAACAGCTAACATGCTAACTATTATTTTTATGTCACTAGTCACTTGAAACAAATATAGGACAATAGGAGACAGGTTGAAATAAACCGAAATTTCCCTTTAAGTGTTGAACAACAAGACAATGGAGGAGAAACGAACACACTTGTGCCAACATTTTCACTTCCGGGGATATTCCGAATCACAGCAACCCGTGTACCTCCACCCACCTGGGTATTTTCAAAAGAGCACTGATGGACACAAGACATTAAGAAAGTAACACCAGCAACTGTGCGACCAATGAGACTTTGTTGGGACAAGAGCACATCGACCAATCAGAAGGTGTCAGCCCTAAAACTAAGCTTGATTTCAATCTTCTCTTAAAAATATTGAACTTGTTCTTAAGTTCAACCCCTGATATGTTTCATGCTGATTTCTGAGTGGTGCTAACGTCAAACCTCCTGAAGTTGTAGTTTTGTATCTTTGTTTTTACCCAGATTGGTGTCGGCGCGAATGATCATCTGAGTTTTTCCATCTTCTGTGTTTTTGAGGTGCAGAGTCCCCACTCCTTTCTCTTTGAACTCGGAGTCCTTCTTGTAGAACAGTTTACACCTGAAACAGAAACATGTGTGGGTTAGAATTTATAACAACAATCACTCAAGGTCACCTCACGGGCAAAGATAGAGAGAATAACAGCAGATTTAATAAATAAAGATTTTTCAACACCATTTACATCATTTAATTAACGACAGCGAGACGTACTTCTTTGAGTAGAAGGCGTCGTCCTCTTTCACCTCTTTGACCTCTGGTTTGGGCGGCTCCTCCGACTCCTCGTCTCCGTTCTCGTCTACAAAAAGAAAAATGACATTTTATTAAATTATGTTATTCACATTTTTTAACAAGAAGATCGAGACAAAAGGATCAGACTGTCAGGAGTCATGGGACATAAAACGCCTCCAAAATATAAATGTAAAAACATAAAGGAGGTGAATGTTAGATGTTTAGGACTAAAACTGAAACGATTCATTGATCTAAAGATAATTAATCAGCGTTTATTTTAATAATTAAGTGGTTTTGACTTCTCAAATGTGATTGTGTCTTTGAAATATTAATCAGTTTTGGTCTGATTGAACAAAACAAGCAATTTATTTCCACGTCAGTTTAGACGACCTGATTAATTGACAAACGTCAGATTGACAGATAATAAAAATAATGTGCAGCCTTAGTTTACATGACACCGTCCTTTATCTGCTTAAAATCAGACTGTAGACAAACACTAGTTACCTGACAAAAGGTGACTTCATTACTAGATATCCGATAACAATTAAACCAAATAAAAGAGATCCTGTTTTATTAGTCAGGTTAGTCAGTTAGTCGTCATCTATAAATGAATCGCCAACTAATTTGACAATCGATTAATTGGTTCGAGTCCTTTTTTTTAAGCAAAAATAATTCAAAATTTCTGATTCCAGCTGCTTAAATGAGAATATTTTCTGGTTTCTTTCGTCCTCTGTGAGAGCAAACAGAATATCTTTGGGTTGTGGACAAAACAAGACATTTAAAGACGTAATTGTGGGCTTTTAGAAACACCGATCAACATGTGTTTAACCACTTTTGGACATTTTATAGATGTAATATGAAGAGTTTACAAAGTGATGTTGGTGTAATCCCTCCTGACGAGACTTAATCAGCTATAACTGATTGTATTTAACCGAAATCCTCACAGAGCTTCAGTTTTAAGTACACTGCCTGGCCAAAAAAAAAGTCGCCACCTGGATTTAACTAAGCAAATAGGTACGAGCCTCCTATTGGATAATTACTGCATGGGCGATTATCTTTCAGCTGGCAACAAGTTATTTAACCCCAACTGGTGCAATGAGTTGCTTCTCATTTCCTAAACAACCATGTCGAAAGACACATCCCGTGGTCGTGGAAAAGATGTTAGTCTGTTTGAGAAGGGTCAAATCATTGGCATGCATCAAGCAGAGAAAACATCTAAGGAGATTGCAGAAACTACTAAAATTGGGTTAAGAACTGTCCAACGCATTATTAAAAACTGGAAGGATAGTGGGGACCCATCGTCTTCGAGGAAGAAATGTGGCTGGAAAAAAATCCTCAATGATCGTGATTGGCGATCACTTAAACGTTTGGTGAGATCAAATCGAAGAAAAACAACAGTAGAACTCAGGGCTATGTTTAATAGTGAAAGTAAGAGCATTTCCACACGCACAATGCGAAGGGAACTCAAGGGATTGGGACTGAACAGCTGTGTAGCCTTAAGAAAACCACTAATCAGTGAGGCTAACCGGAAAAAAAGGCTTCAATTTGCTAGGGAGCATAAAGATTGGACTCTGGAGCAATGGAAGAAGGTCATGTGGTCTGATGAGTCCAGATTTACCCTGTTCCAGAGTGATGGGCGCATCAGGGTAAGAAGAGAGGCAGATGAAGTGATGCACCCATCATGCCTAGTGCCTACTGTACAAGCCTGTGGGGGCAGTGTTATGATCTGGGGTTGCTGCAGTTGGTCAGGTCCAGGTTCAGCAACAGTATGTGCTCAAAGGATGAGGTCAGCTGACTACCTGAATATACTGAATGACCAGGTTATTCCATCAATGGATTTTTTCTTCCCTGATGGCACGGGCATATTCCAAGATGACAATGCCAGGATTCATCGGGCTCAAATTGTGAAAGACTGGTTCAGGGAGCATGAGACATCATTTTCACACATGGATTGGCCGCCACAGAGTCCAGACCTTAACCCCATTGAGAATCTTTGGGATGTGCTGGAGAAGGCTTTGCACAGCAGTCAGACTCTACCATCATCAATGCAAGATCTTGGTGAAAAATGAATGCAACACTGGATGGAAATAAATCTTGTGACACTGCAGAAGCTTATCGAAACAATGCCACAGCGAATGCGTGCCGTAATCAAAGCTAAAGGTGGTCCAACGAAATATTAGAGTGTATGACCTTTTTTTTTTGGTGGTGACTTTTTTTTGGCCAGGCAGTGTATCTTTCTGCAGGATTGTTAACACGAATTAATCTAGAATTAATTAAGGATCTGATTATCTCCATTAAAAGTGATACTTGTTTAACCAGATTACATTAAAAACATGAGGTTTAGTCGATTAGTCGACTGACAGAAAATATATCAGGAGCTGTTTTGGTGATTGATTTAATAATCTAAAAATGCAACGGGATTAGAACTGCTGTTCAAATTAACCCTTTGAAACCTGAGATAATTGGCTGGATTTCTTTCACAAACATGGGAAGAAGGCAATGAGCAACAAAAAATGAAATGAGAAATTAGTAAAAAGCAAATTAAAAATGAGATTAGTTTAAAAAAAATAAAAACAAGGAAATTACGTTAAAAAAAAACACTTAAAATTACAGTTGTTTTGTACCAAACATATAATAATCATAAATGTAATTTTCCCTAGCTTTTGTTTTTTCCCTATTGCTCAACAGTCAAAGGCTCAGATACGTGTTAAAGACGTGTGAACGCGGCAGGAGAAAAGTGACGTCACTCCAGGTTTCAAAGGATTAAACAAGTTTTGAAAGGAAGTCATCTTGTAACTGCGTCTTCGCTGCAGTTCATCGATTTTACACCGCCCAGACTACGTCATTTTTGACTGTCGTGTTCACATAAAACCTGATAAACCTCATTTCATACAGTGATTAGAAGTAGAGCCGACGTAATCAGATGATTAATCGATTGAGACATTTATAGACGTCTCCTTGGACTCTGGGAACCGAGGATATAGTCGGCTATTTTTAACTTCTGTCGGACATTTAATAAACTAATTATTATTCGTTTTAATATCTGTCAGTTACTGTCTTGATTAATTAGGTCGTGAAAACACCCATCACAACTTTCCAGAGCTTCAAGTGACGTCATGAAACTGAAGTGTGCACGACCTGCAGTCCAAAACCAGAAATATATAATATTCACTGTCATATGTGAGAAATATAAACTTCAAATCTTCATATTTAAGAAGCTGGAACAGGTGAGAATTTGAAATGATTCACCGATTATCTGATTGTTTCTTTGGTCGACTAATTGTTGCAGCTCTAAATCGATCAATCAACAGATAATAAGATAGTTAATTAGTGATTTATGCTTCCTGTGACACCAGCTGAAGAGAAAATGTCAATTAGAAACAAGGAAATCACAGATTTTAGTCTCAGCTTTCTCTCAACATTTGCGAGCATTATAATATTTTCTTGGCGGTGTACCTGCAGGCCGAGCGTCTTCGGTCTTCGTCCCGCTGAAGGACAGCGGTGCAGCAGATCCAGGAGCTCCAAACAGGGAGGTCTGGCTGGAGGAGGCGCTGGAGGAGAAGGAGAAGCTGGGGGTAGATGTTTTGGACCCTAAGGAGCCGAGGACCGAGCTGTCCACCTTCTGACCAAAGTTAAACGTGACACCGGTGTTGATCGGAGCAGCGGTGGAGGCGCTTTTGTCCCGGGTCGAGTCTTCTGTCGTGTTTTTGCCAAAGGAGAACAAAGCGGTGGTGGCTGGAGCCGCCGAGCTGCTTCTGCTGCCGGAGGAGGAAGATGAGGGAGGAGGAGGAGGAGGGGTGGCTGTGGTTGGCAGCATCCCTCCCTGCTTCTTCTCCTCAGAGCCCCCATCAGCAGATCCGGCTCCATACTGGCGCTCGATGCTGGCCAGGTGCCGCTCGTAATCCCTGAAGATGGGATTGAGATCACACAGAGGGTTGTCGTTCACGTGCTTGGTGATCCAGTCCCGCACCGAGCAGTTGAGAGCGGTGAGCTGCCGGCTGTACTCCTTGTTGCCGACACTGCTGCTGCTGCTGCTGCTGCTGCTGCAGGAGCTCGAGCTTTGAGTCGGGCTCGGGGTGGAGCCATTGGTCTGCTTGGCGGTGATGTCAGCAGTGGGCTTGGCGGAGGTGGGGCCGTTGAATGTTAGACCTGAGATGATGAAGGGAGAAATGTTAGTGTGACAGCAGCTGGATGAGGCTGAGAGGAGGAGAGTGGAGGAGCACCCCCTCCCCCCTCTGCAGCCCCCCGTCCTGCCCTGCAGCGACACGACAACATGAAATGAAAGAGCAGCCAGACACACACACACACACACACACACACACACACACACACACACACACACACACACACACACGCTGATTCAGCTCCATTACACTCCAACACAGAACCAAGAAACCTCAACAATGGAGCACATTTTCAACTCCATTACGTGTCAACAGGCAACTGAAACCGGCCAGCAGAGAGCGAGACGCCTTATATAAGTCAGAGAAAATTAAAATGATGTAAAATCAGGTTACATCCAGTTTAAAGAAGCAGAGACACAGCTGCTCTGCTGCATGCAACGACACAGGAAGCTAATTATAGAATACTAATCAATTTATCTGTCACATTAAAATCATAAAATACAATTCCATTTAAATGTAACTGTGTCAGTCGCATGCTGTACGTGTGGATGCACAATTAATCTATCGAACCATATTTCAAACTGTAACTTGCATAATCTACAGAGCTGATTTAAAAATACTTTGATCAAAAAACAGTACAGATAAATGTTTGCTTTTAAGTCCTCAAAAAACAGACACTTGTGATGAGAATTATAATAAAAACTAAAAAGAAAATGAGCACAAAATACATCTTTATCTTTTTTCTT